GTTTTTCTTGTGAAAACATGTTTATTCTTTATAGGAATATCATTTACATCATGATATAAGTTATCTTTACTAGTATTATAGTGTTCGTTTTAAGATTTAGTGAAAACAAATACCGTAATAACAATAGTGGACACAGTTCTGTCAAAGCCACTTCATACAGTTTCTTCAAAATATGAACAAGTGCCACCCAAATTTGTTCCCTTAGACTGTGATAGTGAATAAAGCAAGGACCTCCGGCACAATTTATTTGAATTAGACTTTTTGCTTTTCTCCAAATGGTGAGATTTGTTGGAAATTTCTGAACAGCAACTACAACAAGAATAAAAAAAATTAAATGAGCCAGAACAAGGTTCTTTGCACTAATACCTAGAGCTCAACAGAAAGAAAAAATGATTATAATAATGTCGTAACCTACATGTACAACCACATGACAGTCCAATATAACAGTTCAAACTGAACTCAACTAGCCTTCTTAAAAAAGCTTATATTACTATTATGCAAGCCAAAAACATGTTCACCATTCTTTAAAGAAACTGGTCAGTAACCCTACGCAAAAACAGGAGATCATTCCCAAAACTAGTATCATGAAAGTCCCTTAAAGTGGAATTCAATTCAGTAAAATTGTTCACAGAAGCGATTGGAGTCACTGCAAAAAATGTTGAATTGCTGCTTTGTTCAAACATCTTTCTGCCAGTCGCAGCTGAGATTTAAGAACATCTCTCTGTTGAGAAATATTTAAGTTTCTTTGCACTGACACACAACTGCTGCAACTGATATGACTTAAACTGAAAGCACGAGTTCATTGACAATTTCTCAAGGTTAGGGTGGCCCTGAAGACCTTGTAATGCATTGTCAAGACTGATGTTTTGACATTGATCAATGCATAACTCTTCTAAGTGCAACATGTCTTTAGTAAATGAAACATCCCTGAGGCATTTCAAGAAGCTGATGTCTAACTTCCTCAAGTTAATACACTGCCCAATACCATTTGCAATATATTCCAAACTGGTCTCATTTCTCAAATCTCTCAAACAGCTGTGTATTGTTAACTCCCTGAAATGTACTGCATGTTGAATAATGGTGTTTTCAAATGACCTTTTTGTAAATCATATGTCGTGTTCAAAACTCCTCCACAATGAAGAATGGTGGCTTAACCTGTAGAAACGTTTGCTAACTTGTGCAACGGTGCACAGAGCTTGATGGAGACTTAACCTTGACAAAATCTCCAGGATGACCTCATCAGGTAAGCTATCGAGAGAACAGGTGGGTGTTAATCCTGAAAACAGAATAAAATGTTGGAAATGTTACGGGTTGTAATCGCCTAAACTCACTTATACAGATGACAGAACTCGATCGATATCACTCGCCATGTGCTCTTCTCAACACGACACATGCCATAATATTTTGAAAACAGTTCCCAACTGTGCGTGGGCTGGTGATGCCTGACCAATCTTACAACATTCCCTTAAACCAAGTCTAAAGTGATATGATTACATTTGCATAACTCGAATCTCGACACTCTCCCCTATTTGATATAAGAAGTTAGATCAAATACTTTAATAGATTTGTGTACAGTGCTCAATATTCACTTATAAGTGTTCAGTTAACAATGCTCAATGTTCGAAGTTCAGTATTCAGCTGCTTCCACGCATGCAAGGCAACAGATATTGTCAGGGGCTGCGATAGCAGCCCTCCTCTGAGGACGAAATTCCTTAGGACATGGATTCATTTGAGACACTTCTTCCCGTTCCTCCTCATCTCCTTGCTGTTGGTCACAGGAGAGCTCCATTGGGTAGAGGTGCTGGATTGCACGTTCAAGGTAAGACTTTCCGGCTCTCAGTCTAATGGCTCGTACAACACCATCTCTGCCCTTAATGAGCTTGT